TTGATAATTTGAAATAGGAAAAAAGGTCCAAAGATGAAGGAGTGAAGGGAGGGGAAGGGGGAAGGAAAAGAGGGAAAGGAAAAACTATGAGAAAAGAAAAAAAATGGAAATGAAATCTATGTAAAAAAGGGAGGACAGAGGGGGTGAAGGGTGCACAGGTAATGGGGAAAAAAAAAGAACCAAGATATATCATGTACAGGTACAAACACCCAATGATAAATGTAAAGAATTGTGTACCTAAAATGTACCAATAAAAGAACAAAAAATAAAGAAAAGAAAATGCCTCTTCTTTGAAGATAGTTTCTAAATTAATTAATTTGTCTTTTTTACCTTTCAGAGCATCCATGCCTCCCACAGCATAAAGTGCCCCTACAGTTGATTTTCTGGGCTTTGTTCGAGGGCTTTGCATCATGGGTCTTCTCTCAGGTAAGAGATGATATTTCATAGCTTCCATTAGGAGCTTCTGACACTCAAGATCACCAGTAAACATGGAACTATTTTCAAGATCTGCCAGTAGCTGAAAAGTAATAATTTATGGCATACAAAAAAAAAAAAATCACCATTAGAAAGAACATACTTTAGTTATATAACTTGGGAGGAAACATGCTAATTCAAATGTAAATTTTATAGTTTTGAATATTTTGTTACTTATTTTTTAATTTCACTTATGCTAATTAAATGCTTCATAGTAGTAGTTAATGACTTAATTGATAGTGTTCATATTTTGAATATATACGTATACCCTCAGAAGTGGTAAGAGTGAAAAAAACACTTATAAAAAGTGTTACTGAAGCATGCATGGTATCACATGCCTATAATCCTAGCACTCAGAAATTTGAGACAAAATAGTTGCAAGTTTGAGGCCAGCCTAGGCTTTCCAGTGAAACTCTTTTTCAAAAGAACAACAACAAAAATAAATAAATAAACAAATAAAAAAGTCTGAGGATGTAACTCATTGCAAGGATTTATTCCTTCATACTCTAGGGTAAAAATTATTGAATCGTAACTCTAGCTACTCGAGATATTGATAAGTCTGTGAATTTGAGGCCGGCATCCTGTTTCGAAAAAATTTGGGGATGTACCTCAGTGATAGAGTTATTGGTTAGTATGCACAAGGTCTTGGATTCAATCACTAATACTGCAAGAAAAATAAATAAATGAAAGAAGCCAGAAAGAAAGGCTGTGATTTTTCAGTCTCTCCTGTTCAACTGCATGTAGCTAATGAAAGTAGTGATTTTTTTAGTGGATTTTGGGTGAGAGTAGTGGCGATGATCATGCAAACCTGCTCTATAAAAACAATATAACCCGTAGAAGCCTGAATCTTTATCACCAAATCACTTCTATATTCTGATAGTGGGTGTTTTTTAAATTGGTTAATGTGTATGGATTAGTAACAAGTCAAGACATAAGCAAAAATAGATGATAAATCTTACCATTATCTGACAGACAATAAGATCCAAATTGATATTAGTAAATGCTAGGCAAAATATTTTTCCTGAGATGAATAAGAGAGAAGTTAAAGTATACTTCAGAATGCTGTCAAGAGTTATATTATATCGGCTTCCAAAGCAACCAGGTTTTGTTGGAATGGGGTGTTAATCTCATCTCACAGATCTTTTCTGAAATTTCTTGCTTTGCTTTGGTTAACTTCAGTTCTGTCCTCGTCACCTGTAATCTCTGATCAATTGCTATTTTTACTTCCCTGAGGGGACTCTTAGCATTTCTTCAACTGCATATGCTGTTGGAAATATGTTTGAAGATTAAGTTATGTAATTTTTTGTAAAAATATTCTTCAGTGTTATATCATCATCTTCATATAATTCGCTTCTAAAATATTTGTTTAAAGAACTTTAAAACTTGTTTTAGAAAACCTATACTGTATGCTAAACTTATCATTCATATCATCTGGAGAAGTCCACATAATCCATATTGGGCATAAGGCATATGCAGATGTAAAAGGACAAGGTACCACTGGTTGTACATTTGATCTGGAAATTACCTTTCATCACCAAAATAAGTAAGGAAACGTCAACTAATTGTTCTCTTTTTGAAAAAAAATGTCAAATGGAATTAAACAAGAATAAAATTAAGGGATTATAATTCTTACACTAGTCCAGTCTAAATATTTTGTGTGTCTAAAAATCATACGGAAAATGTATTAATCCATAGATTCCATGTACTGACCAGCAAAAATTGCTTCAGTTGATGTGGGGTTTGGCCTGAAAAATTAAGCATCTATCAAACATGGAAGCAATGTCATGCTATTGGTCCAGGAACATTTTAATTGGTGATATCTTTGAAAATCTTATAAATCGGATTGACATAGACCCCCTTTGGAGAATAACGCACATAAGTGTACACATGTTTACACAAACATTATTTCTATAAATTCTGCAGTTCAGTATCAATTCTAAATTTAGAATTTTGGGTTTCTAAATTACATATACTGTATATTTTAATGTTTATCTTTTTGGTGCTATTATTGCCTTGCATTTGGAAAAATCTGTTATACTCAAGATATCAATGAATGTTATCTCATCACAGATAGATTATTAAGAGCAAGTATGCAGTTTCATGAGATTTACTTAACAGTATATATATGGAGAAACTATCAACAGATGAACAGTTATTTTTCACAATTATTCTATTTCTTCCAATAAGATTATCTTTGAGAAATGAATTAACTTTAACATTTGTGAAACTATTGATCCACCAAGTTCAGACAAGGTCCCTTTTTCCAGTGTGGATAATATTTGGCAACTTCAGTCACAGATTTGATAAATATGAAATTCATGTGGACAATACATTATTTTATATACTACAAATTATATTTTCTACTGGTCAATTTACTATGAAATTGTGGTTATCACCAATTGTGAAATTATATAGTGGGATCTCTCTGCAGCCTCACTAAAATTCACATACTAAAATTAAGTATGAGGTGAATAAGGTTGGATTTTGTATGAAGATGTTTTAATTTTTTTAGAATATTCTGTGCTATAATCCTTCAGTTTGGCCTGTATGAAGAAGATGCCATTATAAGAATACTCTAGTGCATCTAAAATTATGACATCATTCTTTCAGCACAGCGGCTGATTACACACATTAATAGATATTATGTGCTTTTGAGCCTCCAGTGGGAGGCTACTATGATTAGTTTCACCTTGCTTAGAAGGTGAGGAGGGAAATAAAAATGTTTATTTGTTTTCCTCTGTTGTTATAAGTGCTATTTGGACAAAGAAAAAACTAAAATTAGAGTATTCTGATGTTTAATAATTACCTGTAATTTTTATATCACTGTTTCCTCTTTTTCTGTTATTAACAGCTCTAGTTGAAGGCTAGCTATATCCTTCTACAAAATGGTTCCATTTTGACAGATGCTTAGATACATATGAACTACCAAAACTGAGCCAAGAGATATAAAAACCCTGAATGATCCAATAAGTCAATGCAAATGAAGCAGTAGGTTTTTTAATAAAAACTAACAACTAAAAAAAGACCAAAACCCAATGGATTCACTATTGAGTTCTACATGAAATTCAGGAAAGATATAATGCCAATATTCCTCAAAATCTTTAACTAAATTGAAAGAGAAGGGGTACTGCCAAAGTCATTCTTGAAGACAAAGACACAACTGAAAAGGAGAACTACAGACCAATCTCTTTAATAAATATAGAACTAAAAACCCTCAACAAAGGACTAACAGAAAGAATGCAACAAATCATCTAAAAGATAATATATTATGACCAAATAGGCTTCATCCCAGGAAAGTAAGAAAAGTTCACCATATGCAAATCAAGACATGTTATACATCATATAAACAGAAGTAAAGACAAACATCACATGATCATCTCAATTGACAGAGAAAGCATTTGACAAAAATGTACTGTCCTTTCATGCTAGAAACACTGAAGAAAATAGGTATAGAAGGAATTTCTCAACTAATAAAAGCTATTTATTATCAACCAAATGCTAACATTATATTGTAAGGACAGTTAGGGAGGAATATGCAGCATCAGGCATGACCTGGGTGGCTATCACAATAGAGATAGCCACATGCTTACTCATGACATGGTGTACTGGAGGAGGCTGCCCTTTGTGAGACTGTTGCATACTTTTGCCATGTACTCATAGATCCTGCAAACCTTAGCTCACCCCAGAAACAAAGGCTAAGACTGTGATTGTACCAGTCAGTGAAAGAGTCATTTTTAGAAAATCAGCTTACCAAATATGGCCAAGGTAATGACATGGTGAGAAGCTCATCTTCAGAGCTTCTCCCTGCCATGTATTTCACTGTTTGGCAATCCCTCATTCTGTCATATTATTAATAAACCTCTGCTTCATATTGCTTGTCATTTTCTGAGTTCCTCCTTCTGCACCCGGGACAACCTGACTTCTTCACACTTAGGAGATCTTTGGCTTTGAGTCAGTTCGGTCTCTCAATTCTTCACTGCCAGGTAGGGCAAGAACTTCAGGAATAGGAGAGCCCTAGGCCCCCAGATCCCCACTGGGACATAACAATATAAAATGGCAAATAGTTAAATGAATTTCCTCTAAAACCAGGATCAAAACAAGGATTTTAAATATCAAAACTCCCATACATTATAGTACTCAAAACATTAGCAAGAACAATTAGGCAAAAGATAGAAATAAAAAGAATATGCATAGGAAAGGAATAAGTCAATTTATCAGTATTTGCAACATGATCTTCTACCTAGAAAAAATTCCGCAAAATGACTCCTAGAATTAATAACCAAATTCAGCAATGCAGAAGTATAAAAAAATCAACACACACCACACCTGCCTGGCAACCAAAAGGTCCTGAGTTCAATCACTGGTGCAAAAAAAAAAAAAAAAATCAATAGTATTCCCATACTCCAATAATGGACTCACTGAGAAAGGAATTAGGAAAAAAAAAAACCCACCATTCTTAATAGCACTAAAAAAATTAAATACTTAGTAATTAACCAAGGAAGTGAAAGACCTCTACAATAAAAACTATAGTACTCTCTAAAAGGAGATTAAAGAGGGAATCAGAAAATGGAAACATATCCCCTGTTCCTGGTTAGGCAGGAAAAATAATGTGAAAATAGCCAAGCTTCAAAAACTGATATATAGTTTTAAAGCAATATCAATCAAAATATCAATAACATTCTTCACAGAACTAGAGAAAACAATCTTAAAATTCATATGGAACTAGAAAAGTCCAAGAATAGCAAAATCAAACTTGGGCAACAAGAGCAAAGCAGGAGGCATCCTGGAATTTAAGTTATATGACAAAGCTACAGTGTTAAAAACAGCATGGTACAGGCACAAAAATGTATATATGAATCAATGGAGAAGAATAGTGGATGCAGAAATAAACTCAGACACATTCAGTTATCTGATCTTTGACAAAGAGTTCAGAAACATACACTGGAAATAAGAAAGACTCATTAGTAAAGAGTATTGAGAAAACTGCCTATACACATGCAGAAGAGTGTATCTATACCCATATCTCTCATCATGTAATAAAAATCAAAATGAATCAAGTACTTAAATATTGAAACAGAAGCACTTAATCTAGTGGAAGATAAAATAAGTCAAACTCTTGAAATCATAGGCAAAGGCAAGGATTTTCTGAATGGGACCCTAACTGCACAAGAAATAAATCAAGAAAAAACAAAAAATATTACCAAATTGAAAAGCTTCTGCATAGCAAAGGAAATAATCAACAGAGTAAAGAAACAACCTACAAAAGGTGAAACTTTTTTACCTGCTACACCTCAGACAGAAGACTCATACCTAGACTATATGAAGAACTCAAAAATATTAGATGTCTCAAATTTAAAGACCTATTAACAGTGAATATCTTGGTTCTTATTTTCTCCCCATTCCCCTGCCCTCCCTTCAACCCCTCCACCCCTCTCTATTTATAAAGACTTTGTTTCCATGTTTTCCTTTTCTCATATTTAGTCCTTTCCCTTCTTTCCTTTCCCCTACCCCTCCCACTTACACTTCCCCTTTGGACATTTTCTTCCTATTTCACATTATCTACTATACATTTTGATCCTTATTTACACTTTCAGTTTCTCACACCAGAGAAACTGTTTAGTATTTACAAATGTAAAAGTGAATATCTAAAATGAATAGATACTTCTCAGATGAAGAAATACAAATGGCCAATAAGTACATTAAAATGATCAATTTATAATAGCCAAATGTTGGAAACAGCCCATATGCCCACGGACAGATGAATAGAGAAAGAAAATGCAGTATTTATATATACAATGGAGTACTACTTTGCCATGAAAAGGACAAACGAGACATTTTTTAAGAAAATAAATTTACTTTGACTATAATCTAAAGTGAAATAAATTAGACACAAGTTGAAATATTGCACTCTTTCTCTTGTGTGAGAAACCCAAAGTATAAATAAAGAGCAAAATGGAGGATAGATATTATAGAAATCAGTATGAAGATTCCTCAAAGAACTAAACATAAAAATTCCATTTGACCCAGCTATTACTCTTCTTGGTATTTTTCCAAAAGAATTAAAGAAATCATATTACAATGATGCACATCCATGCTTATAGCAGCACAACTCATAAGAGCTAAATCTTGTAAGAGGCTTATATGTTCATCAACAGATGAATGAATAAAGAAAATGAGGTATTTACAAACAATGGAGTGCTAATCTGCCAGAAAGAAGGATAAACTTTCATTTGTATGACAATGGATGCACGTTGAAACTATAATGGTAAGTGAAACAATTCAAACACATAAGGATAAATATTTCATGGTTTCTCTTTTGAAGATGAAAAGCCAAAATTATAAATAGTAAAATAAAAGTTAATAGGAAGCAGGGAGATAGATTTTTGCAAAAGGGAAGGGGATCAAGAGAGGAAGAGAGGGGGTAGGGAGGGGAGGGGAAAGAATGAAGATGTGTTACGTACATGTACCAACTCTCCACAAAGAGTGTAATCATTATCTACTGCAAACATGTACTAATAAAAATAAAATTAAAAACAAAAAAAAACTAAGTAATGGATTGGTGCCTGGTGGTAGTTCAGAGCTCTGGTTCACATTACCTGGGTGAATTTCCATACCTGTGGTGGGAGTAATGGCAGTCTGATGTATGAAAGCAGTATTGCCAGGTCTCCTTGTCTAGCCTGAGCATCATGGCTCACCCACTGCATTAAAGCATAGAAAATGGTTTCTTCATCAGGCACATTAATGTCATCACTGCACAGAAGCTCTGAAATTTCATTAGCTGGAAGCTGGAGAAATTCTTGGTTCTTTATAACCTCAATGAAATGTTCCTAGAAAAGAAAGGCCATCTATTGAAACTCTGTACTTTAGAAATTTCTTAATAAAAGAAGCATATCAAAACATTTTACTTCGCCTACTTTGAGAAAAAGTCAGAGTGATAGATACATCCACTTATAACAATTTGGTACTATTGTTACCCATGAAAGGAGTGTGGAAGCATTGTGAAGTAGAGCTAGTAAATGCTTCCACTGAGGATTATTTATTGATCACAACAAAACCCTTAATCGCTTTACAGACTCCATGGGCAAAGTAGCTATTGTTAAAGACAACAACAGCTTATGACTTCAGAAATGACTGTTAAGTTGCTTTTTAGCCAAAACCCCAAGAGAAATTCTGAAAGTTTTGAAGGAGGAGGTTATTGTGAAGGTATGAAAGAATTAAGCATCTTTATGTGTTTTACACAGTAACTGTTCATTTTTTTGAGATGAGAAGATACAGCATTAATGAAAATAGTTTCCTATTGTGGAAAATAATGATATTCTATCAGTCAAAATAATTCTGTCCTTTTACATCACATTACAATCTACAGATTGAAGACCATGTAAAAGAAGCTCTACTATGAAGTGCTTCTTCTTTGTTTTCTTTTTTGTGGTACTTGCCACTGAACTCGAATCCGTTATACTGAGCTGTATCCCCAGACCATCTCCATCCATTTATCTATCTATCTATCTATCTATCTATCTATCTATCTATCTATCTATCTGTCTGTCTGTCTACTTTGAGACAGGATCTTCTTTAATTACGCATTTGCCGAGGCTGCACTCAAAATTGTACTCTTCTTGCCTCAGCCTCTCAGAGTGCTGGTATTACAGGTGTGCACCACCATTATCAGATTAAAGTATTTCTTTAGGAGAGAGGATAGGGGTACATATCAATGTTTATATATTATAGTTCAATTCTCCTTTCTATAATAATATTGTCATGTATGCTATAATATATCAAATGTCAAATTTGTTTCAGATTTTGTTTCAAAATACCAACATACTTTTTGTATATAAATATTGTATAGTTTTTTAAAAAATCATTTGTAACATTTTTCATAGTGAAGATATCATTTTAAATGCAATAATAATATACTTCTTTTTAAAATTCAAATATATATATATATATATATGATGAATAGAAAGCAGGGAAATCTTTTTCAAAGGTATAGGAGAACAAGAGATGGAGAAAGGAGGAGAGGAGAGGGAAAGTGGGTGAAAAATAATTCAAAGAAAAAAATGAAAATAGAGCTTTTGCAAATGGAAAGGGACCAAGAGCTGGAAGGAGCAGGGAGGAATGTTAAGGGTTAGGGGACAAAAAATAGAACTAAGATGTGTTGTGTACTTGTACCAACATCCCACAATAAATGTAAACATTATGCATTGCAAACATTCACTAATAAAAAAATCAATATTCAGAAAGCAACTTTAAAACAAAAAAATACTTCTGAAATGGAGATGAACATATTTTTACATAAACAAAAATACTTTTGAAATAGAGACGAACAGTTTTTTTACATAATAAACAGATATTTTAGGAGTAGTTTAAAACAACCTCTGAATTGTTGGTGGCTGTGGATAAATCAAATTATTCTCTCACCTCTACTCTGAGTTTAGTCACTGCATAACTGAATTTGACTAATATCAGAACTATCCATATACCAATAATCAATAATGACTGGCTATAATGGAGCTGTGATGCCATAAATTTCCAAATAACTTGTCTATTTAGAAAAAAAATATTTTATGATTGAGGCATGCAATTGCCAGAGAATGATTGTTATTACTAAAGTAGATGCTTGTTGTTAAAAATCCTCTCTCACAAAGTAATGGTAATGGTTTTACTATTACTAATACATTTCACTTGTACACTCTTAATGCTTTACTAAATACTGTAAACTTACAAGAATTAACTCATTGCCAGTGTGACTTTTTAAGGAGGTGAAATTTCTCTGATGAAAAATCAGGAAACAACCATTGTTTGATCTTTTGTGGAGTAAGTGGCAAAGTCTGGACTCAAAACAAGCTTCTAATATGTCTAGTGCATTTTGTTTGATTCTGCAGCTGACTTTCCTAAGTGATAACATATTTATGAAATGATTAGAAACATAAAACACTACAACACTTATAGTTATCTATTAGTATCATATGTAAATTCTGAAACAATGTTAATATGATAAAAAACACTGCCTCACTGTCTTTGTATTCTCCAGTGAAATAATTTTTTTAAATAGAGAGAAAAAATAAATACCTCAGTGTGTAAGACTTACTTAATGGCCAATATAAATCATAGACTAGGCTATTAAATTTGATTATGAATTTGAGTCAATTAAAACCTGATTAGAAATCATTAATATTGGAGTCATATTTCATATATCCAAAAATTAGATTTTCTGATAGAATATGTTGTCCTCAAAGATGCTTAGACTATTAAAATTTTTAGACAGTGTTGATTAGTTTAAATAAAAACAGAATATATGTTTTTACATTATTTATATATAGCACTGCAATATCTTCTACTGTACAGAAAGTCTTAGACTTAAAGCCTAAATTTTAAGTTGCTTGATTTTAGAATTATTTTGCTCCTAATTTCAAAGTAAACACTCTTGATTTATGTACTTTCCCAATAATCTTCTTTTATGTCTTGGATTCCCTATTTATTTATTGTTTTAAATTATCACTTGAGTTGCTGTAAAATTTACTAAATATATATAGCACGCTTGCTGAATGATTCATTGATAGAGACAACTGTTTATACGGTTGAGATGGTTAGTTCTTTGTGTCAACATGATTAGCTCGCAAGCTGACCATTTGACTCAACACTACTCTGGGTGAGGGTGTTTCTGCATGAAGCCCACTCACATTAAGAAGAGAATCGGCCATACTCAGTTTACTAACTCACGTGGTTATTATCCCTAAATACACATTATGTTTAGACATTAAAATTATTTGAATTATTATGCTTACATGTAGAATTTGAAAAGCAGTGTCTTAACAGAGCCTTTACCTATTACTGTATTCACAATAGACACTAATACAACTAAAGAAGGGGTATTAAGGGAGACAACACTATACAGCTAAAGAATGGGAATTAAAGGACACAATAGTATTGCATTTTTCTGCATATCCTGCTTTACCACTCAGTTTCAGACAATATGAAAAGGAGACAAGTTTATTTTGAGCAAGAAAAATAATTTAAACTGTGTATTACAATGTACTTTGTCTGTAAGCATCAGTTACCAGAAAGAAAATTCTTAATAGCTCAAGATTTTAAGTAATTGAACAGGAAGTCTTTGTGTTTGGTTTTTGTGGTTATATTAAACTTTGAACTACACATTTGCTGTTCCTTTAGATTATGTGGGACAAAAGTTTAGATTATTTAGGACAAAGGAATAAAAATAATATAATAATGTGAAAAACTTTAAAATATAAATCCATTATAATACGATTCTCCACATAAAGATATTGTTTCAGGAATATATGTGAAACTTCAGATTTTGAGCAATAACCTGGGGTGAGAAGAAGGAAGAGAAAGATTTATGAGAAAATGTTACATAACTCTAATTTTATAAACTTGAAAACATTTAAATTTATATAATACTCCAGAAAAATGCTGTTATCTTCATCTCTATCTAAAGTAAAGCTATTTTTATTTATCAATCATCGAAACAATTCTCCAGTGATTTCTTGTGTGCAACTTTGTTTCATTTTTAAACTGAATAAATGAAACGATTTTTTTGTTAGAAATATTTATCTTTTAATTATGTTTCACAGAAAGATTCATCTCATTTCATTCACTACTTCAGAAGTTTAAAAGTTCATTTTCTTCTTTGCATTATTAAAGTATTATGGTGAGAATTTACTTTTTATCATTCATCCAGTCTACCTCGGTTCTTGCAGCATACTTCTTTTGATTGACATCTGCCTGAATAAAGATCCTTTTACCATATTAAATTTTAAATAATTGCCACTTACTGACATATTCATGTGGTCCAGTATAAATACTACTAATGTTGAGAACTTTAACATAATTTAAATCAAAAGACTAAATTGCAAAATCTTTTTAACCAAAATGCAGCTTTTTGTTAAGACATAGTCCATTCATATTATTGGCTGAGTTACAAATTTCTGCAGTTCTTAAGTTCTTCCAATTAATATTGATCCAATAATGTTAGCATTTTTCTTACTACATGAAGCTTAACTTTCCTTAGAAATTAATAATTTCTACAATTTTACAAACTAAATTTCTGATTATGCTAAAACAATAGAGAACTAATATTTTTCTTAATACTATATATCCAACTTGATCAATATCCTTGCACAATTTACTTTTTAACGGTATGCTTATTTTCTCAAGTTTTGATTTTTAGTCAAACCTTTTTGATTGCAGAAATAAAAGACATATATATATTTCAGTTGAAAACTGTATGTTTTATTTTGTCTTTTAATTTTTCCCAGTGTCTATATATTGATACTACAAGCTGATTTTTAAAAAATGACTTTACCATAGTGTATTTATGTGCTATATTCAAGAGCTCTGTACACCCCTGGGCATCTCCAAATGATCGGATTCCTAAGCAGTTTGAAGGATGGAGCTGCTTTATGAGGAAACTGGAGCAGGCTTCAATGACTTGTGTCAGCTGCAGAAGACAAGCTGCAGCCAGTAAACTTTCAATAGTATCTTCTTTCAATTGCAGAGCACCTTAATGGTTTGAAAAAGTAAAGAATTGTTATATATCTTACAAAGTAACACATAGCTATGCTAGTTAATTCAAATTTTCCATTTCCATATTTAGTAAGGCTATGCATTTTAGTGTACAGTAGCTAATGTGGAAATATATTTTGAGGCTGGCATACACAAGAGAGTCTTTTTATAAACACCAATAAAAAGGGTGAAGGGGGACAGAGTAGATTATCAAAAAAATTACTGTACCAAAAGAACAGTGAGTACTATCATTATAATATAGAGTAATTTGTTATTTTTTATTTTATGAAAAATTATTTAAAATTCTGAAAAACGTAATGAGGGTAAAAATAGTTAATATATGAGTATCACAGTCTTAAATTTAGTTAGAGTATAAGACAGACAAAAAAGATTGCCTCTTACAAGAAGACACAATTCTTAAACCTGGATTTGAAACTTACATCATTAATTTCACTTGATATAGGTGAAATAGTAAATTATAGTAAAGGTTTCTGAAGATTTCAGTTTTTTTAAAACAAATGAAAGGCAAATTGCAATTAATCACCCTCAAAATACTCTCCCATGCTTTGAATACACTTATCTCATCATTCTTGGCACTTTTTGAAGCAGTTCTGAAAGTTCTCTTTCATCTCTTTCTAGAGTGATGGCTGCCTCAATGTCATCAGTAGATTCAAAAGGTTTGCCTTTGATGGTCTTTTTAACTTTGAAGAAGAGCCAGAAATCTGAGAGTCAGATCTGGTGAATAAGGCATATGAGTATACACCATAATGCTTTTATAAACCTGCCTTTCCATTGGATGGCACTCAGCAGCAATGGTATTTCTGATCACACTCTCTAAAGCACTCACAAAGTGGCAATGATGACGGGATAAGTGTATTCAAAGTGAGGAAGAATATTTCTTGGTGTTTAATAGTAGTCTTTTATTGTGAATTTTTTTCTTAATTTAAGCATTCATAAATGTTAATTACCCCTTACATACATATACATAAAAACATCATCTTAAATAAATAAAATTTTCAACACCAGTCAAACCTAAAGAAATCCAGAAAAATTGTTTGCATTATCATTCAAGGAACATTATACTATGTAGGATCTTACATTTGGTCATACATATAACTGTTGTTTGTGTGGCATTAAAGATTTTTGTAAATAAAGATAATATTGAACTTTTTACCTCCTTATTTTTGTATATGCACTCATCATCTAATAATTAGGTCATTTCCCAAATATTATGTGTGAAATTGACCCCTGGCACTACCTCAAAAGGAACAGAATGTTGAAAAGAGTTCACAAATGAAAAATTATTTATATAACTATTTTCTTTAATATAAAAACAAAGCTAAAAATAGAAATTCCATTTGACTAGCTATACCTCTCTCAGGTACATTATACAAAGAGTTAAAGACATCGTACTATGGTGATACATGCATAACCATGTTTATATTAACACAATTTACAATAGTTAAACTCTGGAAACAGCATAGATGCTCATCAGTAGACATCAGTGGACAAATTGATAATATATATCTAAAAATGTATACAAACTTCAGGAAAAGAAAAATAGTATAATATTTTTTCAACAGATGACATTGCCCTCCTATGGGGACCCTCGGCGGATGTCATATATGAAAGAAAATCCACTACACTGCCAGCCCTTAGAGAAGAAATTGAAAATCCACATGCAGCAATCTCAATGACCAAGGTTACTCAAGTTCCAGTTCACCATACTAATAAATGTCTGGAAGATAATAGCCACCAATTTGAGCAACTCTTGTAATTGTGGAAGCCAAAGATAACCTGTATTAAACTTATTATATAACAATAAATTTAGTATTAAAATGTTAATACAAGTTATTCTTTTCCTGAAATACGTATATATTTTGGCAGACTCTGTACATATGAATATTATTCTCCCATAAAGAAGAATGAAATCATGACATTTGGAACTTATGAACATACTGTTATGTCAAACCTAAAAAGTTAAATATCATATAGTTTCTCATATATGAGAAAACTAAAATATCAACAAATAAAAGAGTAAAAGAGGTTCCATCCATCCACACATTTTCTTGTATTGTTTCTGATGCTGGATTTGAAAGGAGAGAACTGTCAATGTCTTGTTAAACTAAGAGAAGTACCATCTATATCTGTTGACAGTTGCTCCCAGTTTTCCCTATACTCTTATAACCACTAACCACTTTCCATCTCCATGATTTCTCTTAGTTTGGATGTGTCATACAAAAAGAAAAAATTTCTTTCTGTGATATGATTCTTTCACTTGGTATGAAGTATTCAAAGTTCATCCATGTTTCAAAGTTCATCCATCATTCATTTTTATTGCCTATTAACAACTGTTAGTAGGCTCATATGAAATGTAATCTAGCAAGTTCTCAGTGTATAAACATTTTGGTTGTTTATACTACTTGATTATGATGAATAATGCTGATATAAACATGTGTATATACATTTTTGAGTAGACATGTTTTCACTTCTCTTGGGTATATACTTAGAAGTTGAAATGGTTGAGTTATAATGGAAATGTTTAACTTGAGGAACTGCCATATGCATATAATTTTAAATGGATGGTGTTTGACATAGCTATAGTGTTTAGATTTAACTGGATATACTTTAAGTGGAAATTAAATCAGTATTTAAAAAGTTATATTGAGTTATTGAGTTATATACAGTTAGATTTAACTGGATATATTTTAAGTGCAAATTAAATCAGTATTTTAAAAGTTATATTATAAAAGTTACATTGAATTAGATATTTTAAACTTTACTACTATTTAAAAGTACAAAATATTTAGTCACTAAGGAGAAAAATATAAGGAGATCACATAATTTTTCAAAGTTCTTTTAGTGACAGTGCATGCAAATATGGCTGGAAGCAATTCTGGAGAAAATCAGGAAATAATATTTTAGTTCTTAGAAGAGCATAGAAATTAAATAAAAGTATTTAATTACTAGAGATCTATTTTCCTTCTAGGAATCTTCCTGAAAAAGTTAAAAATACCATATTACAATGATACACGCAATTCCATATTTGCAGTAGCATAATTCATAACAGCTAAATCGTGGAAGTGGCATATATGACCATTAACAGGTAAATGGATAAAAATGTGATATTTATGCACAATGGAACACTAGCCTGCCATAAAGAAGGACAAATTTGTGTCATTGGTGGGAAAATGGTTACACCTTAAGATCATAACAGTAAGTGAGATAAAGCAGATACAAAAATTGAGATATTTTATGGGTTTTCTTATATGAGAAACCCAAAGTATAAACAAAGAGTGAAATAAAAGTTAATAGAAAGCATGGCGATTGATCTTTTGCAAAAGAGACAGGGATAAAGTGATTGAGTGCAGGAGGAGGAAGGAGAGGTGAAGGGAACATAAAATGAATTAAGGTATGTAATGTACCATATCCCCGAAATGAATGTAGTCATTATGTATTGAAAATATGTATTCATAAAAATTAAAAGTAAAAACTCTAGGATATCTTCAAGATGAAATAATTATTATAAAATTATTCTTTTTCCTTTTGTTTTATAGTTTAATTTGGTATGACCTCACTATACTAAGGGAAGAGACTAAATCTGTACTGTAAAATTAGAAAATTCCAATTTCCCTCTCTGTTTTAAAGCAGGAATATTCCCACTTTATTCAAGATCTATGTGTTCTTGTACTTTCATGTTAAAATAATTCTCTATCATGGCAAAAATATTTTACAGCATATTATTTATATCTTGTTATTTTATTCTATTGAGTTGGAGTCATAACTCTGCTTTCCTACAACCTTAGGATAGTTATTTACTTGATTATCTTTCACTTACCTTACCTGTAGAATGTAAATAGGAATGCGTGTTTTATATGTTTATGGTTTAACACATATCCAGTACATACCTGTGTAAGCATACTGCACCAATGAATTAAGTGCATTTGGATCTATCCCTTCCATCCTGACCTCCTCTTGGTTGGCTTCCAGCACATCATTAGTAAACATTGCAGCAAAGTACTCAGACACTGCACTGAGAACCAACCTAGAAAGAGGAATGATTCATGGATATTTACATAAGTTGATAATCTTACTGATAGCTTAAAATGTATTCACTAAGTTTGTAGGACTACTCAGTTTGTTTTCTGCTTAAATTTTTCACAAATCAAAAAAGTGTAGTGAATTTAGAAAGGTTACATAAATAAATTGATCTATTTTTGGAGGATTAACATTGTTTTACGAATTTCTGCAAAATTTGGCTGTTCTAAATATAGTACAAACAAATGGATCATATATATTAATGCTTTTTCAATATAGAAAAAAATTTATTCACTCAATGCTCCAATTTATCTTATTTTCCCTCATTCATACTTTCACTGTCTTCCAAATGTTCTGTGTAAGGATACATACCGGTGAGCTGGAATTCGAAGATGTCCAGCAATGAGCAACACATCACACAGTTGTTTCTCTTTCAAGTACTTCTCCATTTTATGGAGAGTTTGCTCTGCATGATTTATAGCATGGAAGTGTTCCTCAGACCTGGGAGTATTCATTTCATCAAGATGTTGTGTATATAATCTGAAAGGGAATTAAGGATGGGAATATGGTTTATCACATCACTTTATGAAAACAGTAATTTTTTCCTAGTGTACGTACACATCTAGTGGAAATTTATGCACACTGACTTCTAAAAACAACATGATGGATTAAAATAGATAAAAAATTGCTCTTTAATCTGAAATATTTGCTACTGATTGCTGCTTAATCTTCCAGTAAAGTGAAGAGTCATGGTTAGTATTTATATTACAAAAGGAATTATAACAATTTATGCTTCACGTTAGTAATAATTGCTATGTATGCAAGCATAGAAGTAAAAATACTACCTTTTTTTTATCCTTATGGATATCATAATTATGTCTTATGCCCAAAGTCCTGCTTCAAAGTAACTAAATTTTGACTGTTTCTTAAACATCTCCATAAGAAACACATTACATATCAGAAATATTTCTTTAAAAATCTCTGATCAGAGAGTTCTGTAACTTTATTTAAAATATGTCAGAAACAATATGACAAATTTATTTACAATATGTCAGGAATTTATTACAATATGACAATACATCAGGAAAAAGCTACATATTTCCACTTTTTGGTTTTTTACTTTTTAGGAAAATGTGATGGCTGTTGTATTTATAATGAAAGTTGCCTACTTGTATTTTCAGTATCATATATGATAGAATTTAAATGCCCACACAAACACAGACAGGGTTATAATCTGTGGAAGTTTAAAAATTTGATATTTGCATGGATATATATATATATATATATATATATATATATATATATATATGCGACTTGTTATCTTTTTTTGCTTTCAGTCATCAATTTTCCAACCACAAGGTAGGATTAAATTTAAGTTCCCATATCCCTAACTTGGCCTAGGCACTTTTGGGAATAAATGGTTCAAGGTGACATCACTTTCTCTGTTAACTCAAATAAATGATTCCTCTCTGAAACTTCTTAACCCTTAAAGAATCTTTGGAAAGTTCATTAACAATATGGTACTGATAATCAAGTACCAAGCATTAAATTCAGATTGAGCTAAAACTGTCTCCATAGTTGGATCATAGGTTGAACTAAAGTGGCCTCCCTCCATACATAGTGAATCATGCACTACTTTGTGGTGCAAATTCTATATTTCCCTGAAAATAAGATGTAACCAGAAAATTAACTTCAGCTGTAATTAATAACTGGTTATTACCACGATGATAGCTAGTGTCATATAGAAGAGTATACTTCACTATTCTCTTGCTTGCTGGCCACCCTATAATGGCAGGTAAAGCAAGGGTTGCCTCATTGGTGCTGGGATTTTTACCTATAGTTAGGTTTTATTTTCAGGAAACAGGGGTTGTATCCTACCCAGTGAGCATACTCCTATAAACAAGCAACTCAGTTTCAGCCAATCATACCAGCTGGTTGCATAGGCAATGCCAGGCTGAAGGCTACTAAATTATGCCCAAATAAGTCAAATGCTGAACTGCACCAGTTAGGTAATTTTGTATGTCATTTCCTGTTTTTCTGGTTATAAATACAGCTAACTATGTTAGAAGCAGGGACATTCCAAATGAGCTTCAGTCCAGAAAGTAGGCTATTTCTAAAACTTTTTCATTCCTTACATAAACATTAGTAAATTTGCTTTTTTAACACATAGTACAAAGAGCTTAACAATTGTCTACTGTTTCACTTCAGATACACTATTATTTATTTCTTCTAGAAAAGATTAATCTTTTAACACCATTAATGGGTGAAATTTCAGGTTGCATTCAATTCACTTCATTTTAATATTTCCTCTGTTCTATTAATAATTCAATTCACATTAATAATATCAATTAAACATTCAGTATCTATTTATCTTGATTACCATCATGAAAATTACAGTAAAGCAGGACAGTTTCTAAAGAAGTAATAGGTTTGGCAAGTTCTGACCAGAGAAAATTTTATTCTTTGATTTTTCTTCAGCCTAACTTGGTTAAGGAAAAAAACACCTTCAAATAACAGCTAGTGTGAGATGGTTTCTTCTGGACATAGTGAATGTATTAGGTACTTGCACATTTTTTAATCAAAATTATGATTTTATAATATTAAAATCCTATAAATATGAACCACACAGAAATCCACTAGGTTTCAAAGTGCAGAAACAACTCTGTCTTCTGCTAATTCAAGAAATAAGAAAATAGTACTCAAGATATAAATATATAAAAATATAACATTCAAACTCCAAAAAATATATTAATCTAAAGATATAAAAATAAACAAAATTATAATCTAGTCTTTGATGTTATCTCAGGAAAATATAACAAAAATCCCAAGCAAACCACCACAGTAGTACCAAGAAACCTAGTCCATTTATACCTATCTTGACCTTATAATCACCCACCATTAATAAATCTCAGTTCTGTCGCCCCATTTTAGTTATTATAATGTTATTTCAGATATTGTAATGGAATCCTCTGCATTAGAACATATCCATCCCTTTGCTTTATTATGTGTTAACCATATTATGGGACAATGGTAGTAGCAAAATAGAATGAAAAGAACTTATGATATGAAGTCAAAATCCTTAAATTTAGGTTCAGACTTTGCTACTTACTTGTTGAGTGACCTTGGACAAGTCATTTTGTATTTCTGTGATAGTCAGCTTTTTGTTTTTATGACAAAATGAGAAAATCAAATTACAGGGCGAAAGCTTATTTTGGCTCATGGTTACAGCCCATGACCAGCTGGCACCATTGCTTTGAGCCTGTGGTGAGAGAGAAAATCACAGTGGAAGGGCATGGTAGAGGAAAGATCTTCACCACATGGCAACCAAAAAGTAGAGAAAAAAATCCAGGAAAGGGCAAGAAGAAGCTATGGTGCTCAAGTGCACTTACACAAGAAAGCTCTCCCTTCAACTAGGTCTTACCTGCTAATTTTCCATCTCCTGCCAGTAGCCCATCAAATTATGAACTCATCAATGGATTATTCCATTGATGAACTAAGAGCCTCCAGGACCCAATCACTTCCCAAAATCCACACTGGGGACCAAGCTGTCACCACATAAGCCTTTGGAGAACATTTCAGATACAAGCCATAGCACTTACGAAGCATCAACTTTTAGCTCCAAATTAGGGAGGAAAATAATATTAATACTACCAACAATAATGCTTATTCCATAGAACTCTTAACAGTCTTAAATGAAACAATATACATGAAAGTTCTATGTACAAATATGAAAGCTTATGCTAAAATACTCCTAGCTACCAATATCATTATTTCCATAAACTTCAAAAATTTTTGTCTTGAATTAGCATTTTTATATTAATATTGTTTTCTGAGGGAATAACAGAATTATGAAGATCATACATATGTACATATCATTTATTTATATCAATATCAGCTCATAGAGTTTTACTTTATATTTTGGTTTATAGACCAAGAACACAATCTTTCTGTTGCTTAAATTATTCTACATTTAGTAGTTAGGAACTTTTATGATTGGCTACTTTGTCTCTTTAACATATTCAACTTTTTGGGGATTATTATAATCATTTCCTTACTGACACTACAAAGTGCTCCTAAATTCATCTTGTGTAGAGCAGCCATTTCTCCAAGGAAATTTTGTTCCCTACACTTGAGAACTATATTAGAAACCAAGATTGAGGCACTAGGTATGTTCATTGCACTTGGTAGTATTAGTTCTAGGGAGATATATCAGATATAGTAAGAGAATATATGCATACACATACATACATACATACATATTCAACAAATAAATTGTATTTAATATTAAAATTCAGGTATCGAGTGTACAAGGTATTTATAATGGATTGTGCTTAGGTACATAGTTATCATTAATTTAAATAAAAACTATCTCAAGTAGAATCTAAAGTTAGGGTGACATTAAAATCAACTTGTGGGGCTTGGGATTTAGCTCAGTGGTTCTGGCGCCTGCCTTGCAAGCGCAAGGTCCCTAGTTTGATCCCCGGTACCAAAAAAAAAAAAAGAAAAAAGATGCTTTTCTGCTGCGCAAGCGCAAGGATCAGAGTTCGATCCCCAGTATCAAAAAAAAAAAAAAGAAAGAAAGAAAAAAGAAAAAAAAATTAACTTGTGAATGAAATTTGAAAATTGAAAAAAAAACAAAAACAAAGAAAACTCTGATTACCCAATTTACAATTACTCCTTTCCTATCATAGTGTTACTTAGAATAAATACTAAGGAAAACATAAAATAAATATTGTCAGTTAACACCCAAGTGTACTACAATATAACAGCCACATCATGTCCTCCAAAGAACTGCTCCTATTAAGAATGGACTCATAAGAAATTTAAGATGCTAAAGATCATTGTTAGGAATACTTTTGCACACTTGGAGATATATTTCAAGTTCTTACTGGATAAATTTTTACATACCATTCCCACACATTAAAATTATAGCTAATAAAAATATTTGAAAATTTCTGATTTAAATCAACATTTCTAAGTGCATATACTGAAATGTCCATTAAAACTCAATAGGAAAAATTTCTGTTTATGATGATATGGATTGTGTATTTGCACTCATATGTATGACTTCCTCTTCCTGGAATCAAATTTTTTTGTTTTAATGTTGTTTTCTATGTCTTCCCACCTGAGTTTGTCTCCTCTCTGATTTCCATCCCACACCTCAGTATCTCTCTTTCTCTTTTTCACATATGAATGCATGGATCCTTCACTTTCTTAAATGCCAGGATATTCAAAGTTGTATATTTGGCTCTTTTCTCTTGGAATTTCATTCACTGTTATAATCAGCTATCATTCAAATGCATATGAAATCAAGTATTTTTTTGGAAACAATGTCTCACTAAGTCACCCACTTGCCCAGACTGAGCTTGAAGTTGGGAGCCTTCAGTCTCAGACTCTCAGAATGCTGGGATTACAGGTAAGTGTCAACTCAGATTTCAAATGGCCAGTTTGACACCTAGATTTATGTGTAGATTTATATCACTTTCAACTCAGTATGTCAAACACTAGCTTATTCTTTGTTTCTCCAAAGGTAAAAATTA